TCCCTCCAAGGTGAATGGTCCCAGTCTTTTTAAATTTCCTTCAGACAAGGGCTCTTCCCAATCCCTGTTCTTGTAGTCAACCATCATTGCCCTGTGTCACATAATGAAGCAGCACAGTAATAACTCAAACAATAACCCTTCCAGATCTGGTGTTCTGTCAGTCCTGGGCATTGTTAAGTTGGAGATCCTGAGTGCAAACACAAGCAGAGGAGTCCCCATGTACCAAATGCAGACATACCCAACCCACATTTAAAAACTAATATTTTTTTAAAAAAGATTCCTGTTTCAAAATACCTGCTTGGTATCCAAGTGAAATGAGAATGAAATGTGACTAGCAGCCTTGTGACTGTTGTGTTGTATAACAAGATAAAAAGTGCTTGGGATTTGTGGATTGAGCTTTTTTTCATTTGTCTTCCAGAGGTCAAAGTCCACTGCAAGCAGTGACTGATACAATTCCCTGTGTAAGTCAGGCTGGACTGCCTGTGCCTCAGGTTCTAACAGCAGGGGAGTTTGTGCAAGAGCACCCTGGTAGGTGTTTGTGTGGATTTCTCTGTGGTCCCTGTGATGATCCTAGGAAGCAGGAGAAGATCCAGAATTGTCTGAAAGCCAGGACTCTTTGAAATCCCAGAGAAGTAATGATGAGCAATGTGGCTGAACCTGCTAGCCTGCTTCCTATTCTGTTCTTGTATGTGTCCAAGAAGCTGCCTCCAGTTTATACAATTGCACTCTAGTAAACAATTCTGCATGCAGCTGTGGGCAGCAGATGTTACTCATGCCTGTGTGAACACTTCAGTGTTTTTACAACAGGGATGATCCTTAGACTGAGTCCTGTTAAACAATGGATGTACCCACCAGAAGTCCCACTGGTCTCAGCCATTCTGTTACAGCTTGCTCAGAACACTTTGAAGGATGGTCACGCCATCCTTCTTTGGCCACTCAAGGGGATTGACTCACAAATACGAGCAAAATAAAATTAGATGGCTTAAGTGGCTGCAGCCCCAGCTGTGTCCCCACTGCCCAATTCCCAGAAGGTCATCCCTGCAGCCAGGCTGGCTGTGGAAGGCAACTCCAGAGCTGCTGTAGTGACAGCCCATTCTTCAGGGTGTTAATACTTGTCTGGCTCCTCTGTGAAACAGTTTAGGAAGCTTAACCAGAATAAAAATGTGCACTTTTCCATCTGAAGAATTATTTTTTAGTTTAATTTCTCAAATGGGCTCTGAGAAGCAGCAGTGTTGCTGTGAGGGCAGGGCAGAGAGAGATGACCTTCCCTTTTGGGAGCAGCCATTACGTCAGTTTTGCTGCCTCACAAAACTATACCCTATGGTTATTTTTGGTGCTAGACTGCCTTAATTTTCTGGAGAGTGAATGAAGGATTAGCATAGCGTGCTTATGACATTTGGAAACTAAGCTTTCAGAAAAAAAAATCATAATTCAGCATGTGCTGAAATGGAAATGCTTAATTTGCTGGGAATTGGAAAGATGAGTCAAATATGAATTTTTTACAATTTTCACAATTCAGCTAGGGGGTTAAATCCTTTTTTAATTTTTTGCGTTTTGCTGCTTTTTAAGACCTCTAACCCAATGCCTACTATCCAGCTGCCTCTAGAGAGAGAAGTCTTTAAAGAGACCAGCTTTGTACCTATAAATAATGTACACAGCAGAGTACAAAAATGGAGTCAAGGAGAAGCTCCTCCTTACCTGAATGTAACTGCAGCAGCTCTGTGAGAATAGCTGTGGTCAGGCTGTGAGCAGCACTCGTACCCTGCCATCCATCTTGGCTAAACTGCTGCTGAGAACTAATTCTGAGATTCCAACACTTGAATATGAGCTGGTAAATCCCAACTGCCTTGTGCTGGAACACATGAGATGCCAGCAGCCAAACGTGGCAAGGTTTTGAACAGTGTGGTTGTAATCCTACTTGGAACTAAAGGTCTGCTGGAGTGCTTTGTTAAGTTGGATGTGCTGGAATATGGAGAATTTCTCAAGTCTGAGCCCCTGCTATAAATGAAAACACTGTGGCAAAAAAAGGTAAATAAATGCCACACATATTTTGTGTAAGAGCCCTTCCCAATATCTATAAATATGGTAATTTTGGGGTTTCCCAGTTTTGAGTTTTAAACAGGAGACAGACACATGAAATATTACAAAGCAAGCATTTTATTTTTTTTCATGGATTAATTTTATAATTTCAGTTTTAACTTACCTGAAAACAATTAATGGAAACTAAATGTAGTGTTTTAAAGAGGATTGCCTTTGAAAGGAAGTAATTTGTTCTTGAAAAAATAACTTCAATAGCTTCTCAGTTTAACTGCATTTTAATATGAATACAAAACTCATCCTGGGTCAGGCTCTCCAGGAAAACTTTCTCATGATTCCTGTAGCAGTTGATTCATTCCATGCTGCCTTAATTTTGCAGCTTTAAATGGCAGGTTCTCTGCAAAGCCATCCACTTCAAAGCTTCATAAAACAGAGCTTTGAATAAATTACTGAGTTAGAAATTATACTGGCTGTGCCCAGCTTTGTGCCTGGATGTGGGAATACTTGGCACTGGGTGTGGAATTCCAAGGAAAATTGCCTCTTTGCTGGCTTGCCAAAGAGCAGCAAGGAGGAAAACTGCTGCAGATGAGCAGACACGGAAATCTCCAGCTTCCCTTTCCAGAGAACACATCCTGAAGAACTGTTGAATATTAATACACATTTCAACGGTGCAACACTGGGCAGACAGTGGGCTTAAGAGGAACTCCTGCTGCTGGAGGGGACATGTTCCATTGTGGCCACAGGGCAGCACTGCCTGCTGGAACCACTCTTACCTTTAAAATGCATCCCTGAGGATGCAACTGGAATCAGTGGGAAGTAGGGAAGGCCCACTGTGTGTGGACACACATGTTGGGGTGTGGGATGCCCATGCTTCATGAGCCCCAGGCTGTATTATTTGGGATTTTTTTCTCTCTTTTGCAAGATTTAGATAATCTAATACTGATAACAAGACACTTCTAAGCAGTGACATAGTTGCTTTGTCTTTCACAAAGAGGCAGCCCACCTTCCTCTGTATTCAGATTTCTGGTATGTGTGTGTGGAGACGATTTGTCTATAATTGTTTGCTTTCTTCAGAGTCTTTTGAAGTTTAAATCTTCAAGCCAACTCCCTATATTAAAAATAAATTCTTCCAAGCCACCAATAAAATGTCAGCTGTGATTAAAGCCCGACTCCTCATTTTAAGACTTGTCTCCTAAGCACTGTGAGGTCACTCAGTGAGTCAGCATTTGAAAGGACCAGGACCGTTACTGTTTGGGTAAAGCCCAAAGTTCATCATTGCTTGCTTAAATGGTTTCATCACGTTTTAAATGGATTTGCATTGTGCTGAAGGAAATGTAAACTGCAGGAATGATTTGGCAGAGAACTTGTGATATTTCAGGCACCTCAAATCTTGAAAAAACCCTCTGTATTAATGTTGAAGTTGGTATTTCTGGTAAGGAAAAGCTTTACCTTCTGTGTAGTTAAGAGGAGGGTGAAGTGGGAAGCTCTGTCTGAGGCATAAACTTTCAACTGTGTTCTCTTAAAATAAAGCTTGGGAACTGTAAAATCTCTGGACAAGGGCTCTTGTACAGTGCCAACGTCTGATAGGGCTTTTATAGACACATGAACTTCATTAATTTTATTCATTAAAATAGTGAAGAAATAGAACAGAGATTAGGCTGCAAGGAAAAGCCTTGAGAAGTGAGTCCATACCATTTTCAGGACTATCTGTGGAGCCCATTTATATTACACACATTAATTGTAACAGTCTTTAATTACATGAACACATTTTATTTTGTCACTTTTCCTCCCTGTTTACTGCAGTGCACACTGTTGGGACTATTTGGAGGCAATTAATCACACCAGTGCAGCAAATAACTTAGAGCAGGACTCTGCCTCTGTCTCCAGCCTGTGTCAGTCGTGGGTCTCCCCGTTCTCTCTGCCCTTTTCCTACATTCCTAATTAACTCCTGCCTCAGTTCCTCACTGATCCATACAACCCAAACCCCTTTGTCTCAGTGCTGTCTGGAGAATTGGGCCTTGGTTTTGAGGAGGAATCCCGGAACAGCAGTTGAATGTCTTGCCCTCCTGCAGTGGAGGCTGGCTGGAGAAGAGGCGTGAGTTCAGGTCATTTAGCTGCCACCACTCCCCTCGGAACATGCTCCAGTGGGGATAATCAGAGATTGAAATTTTATGAAATCTGTTACAAATTCTGTCAAGTTTCAAGAGTTCTCCTCCTTACACTCTCGGGCTTCCCCATCAACCTTTGATTTTTGTTAAGCATCAGTTAAATCTCCGGTGCTTCTCTCGGAGGTGGACAGGTGCATTTGTCGAGCCCACCTTTCCCGGACCGGCTAGATCCGTGCAGGGAGCGGCGCGTCCGCCCGGGCGGCTGCGGGTGGAGCCCTGGAGCCGGGTGAGCTCCGGCTGCCGCGGGAGCGCTGCAGCTCGGCCCGGCAGCGATCCGGGGCGCTGCTGCTGCTGGGAGCCCGGCCGCTCTCGGTGCTCACATCCCTGCCCAGATCCCCTCCGCTGGGGCTGTTCCAACCCTCTCCGCCTGCCCCGGGGCGCGGTTCACCCGCTCCATGACGGCAAAACGCGGCTTTGCGGCATGCCGGGCAGCCCTCCTCCCGGTGACCCTGCGGTGAAACCCCCCCGGGGCCGCACGCCGCTCCCCGCCGGTTATGGAACGCTCCAACGGCGAGGGCCGGGGACGGAGGCGGCTCGGCCGCGGCCGCTCATTCCGGCTCTGCCGCGCTAGCACGGGGAGGGGGCAAAGCGCGCCCGTCCCCGGCAGCCTCACCTGCCGCTGGGCCGGGGAGGGGGCGGCCGGGCGGGTCCGCGCTGGCCGGGCCGGCTCTCCCCCGGCCGCGGTGCGGCGGGGCGGGGCGGGGGGCGGGCGCGGCGGCGCCGCTCGCTGATTGCAGGGCGGGCGCTGCCAGTCCGCCGCCTCCCCCGCGCCAGCCGCGTCCCCGCGCCGGAGCCGCACGGCCCAGCAGCGAGCGCCCAGCCCGGCCCGGCCCCGCCAGCCGCCCCCCATGGAGGAGCAGCCCCACCACCACCATCACCACCACCACTATTACTACTACGGGCACCACCACCACCACCCGCAGAGCGCCTACCTGCCGCCGCCCGACGGCCGAGCCCAGCCTAAGCCGCCGCTCCGCCACGAGCACAAGCACGGCGGCCCGCAGCACACGGAGGCGCCGAAGCGGAGACCAGGTTGGAGCGGGCAGCGGGACGGGGCCTGTGACCTTCGCGGGGCGGCGGCGGGGCCCCCCTTCTCTCCCTCCTCCTCCTCCTCCGCCGCCGCCTCCCCCGGCCCGGCTCGAAGCTTCTCCGCCGCGCTGGGGCCGCTTCCTGTCCGCCATGTTGGGGCTGCGGGAGCCGCGGGCCCGCCGGCACCGCCGCCCGCCGGCACGTGGGGCCGGGCCGCGCTGCCCCCGCCGGCCGGGCCCCGGGGGCGCGGGGGGGCGCGGGGGGCGGCCGGTGATTGATGAGCGCCAGGATCAATGAGTCAGAGCAGGCGGAGGGGCCCGGCCCCGCCGGCGGCGGCGGGAGGCGGCGCGGCCCTGCCCGGCCCGGCCCAGGGCGTTCGGCCGCCTCCTCCCCGCCGAGACCGGGGCTGCGGCCCCCGGGCAGGGCCGAGCTGCCGCTGGCCGGGCGGCAGCGCCGCAGAGGCGGTGGCCGGTCAGCGGCGCGGGGGGAGCCGATCCCGGGCAGGGCCGGAGCCCCCGCCGCGTTCCTGGGGGGCTCCCCGGCTCCAGCGATCCCTCTGGGGGGGTTTCTGCGGGGTCACAGTGAGTGCGTGGCCGCCAGTCGGCCCGAGTGCCGCGTACATTTTTTTTTTTCCTTCCCTTGAATTTTCCTTTTACATAACCAGGAGGGAGGTGGGAGGGGGCCTGGAAGCAGCGGAGCGGGGTCGGCAGTGCCCCATGTGCAGCTTGGGCAGGCAGGGAGGGACCTGATCGGGCACACGCTAAAATAAGTTACCGAGCAAAAATAAGTTGAGAAGTCATTTCACTGTTTGCAGCGTGCCCAGGGTTTTAATGTGTGCCTAGGCTGGCACCCCTCCCTTCCCAACTCTGAAACGGTTTGTGAGCTTGCCAGATCCTCTTCACCTGTTCTTACCATCTTGGGTTTTTTCCTCTCCCCTAAATTTTGGTTGCTGCACCTCTGTGTCCAGGCCAAGGCCAGCTGTGCCAAATGTTGATTTGGAGAAAACTCAGGCAGCTGAGCTGTGAATGCTTGAGAATTGGAACTAGAAACTGCTGACACACTGACTTACTGAAATGGGTTTTGTTCTTCATTTTATTCTTTCACTCCTCATCTGCAATGGTCTTATGACCACTCTTATTGTTTTGTTTCATTAACAAGTGGTGTCAGAAGTCTTGAGTCATACAAGGTCAGCTATAACACTGCTCTTGAGAAGGCTTCCTCTTCATGGTTATTCTGAAATACTTCATTTTAGGGGATCCCACCGTTCTAGTTCTCTCTGGGGTGAAGTATTTATGGTTAAATTTCTTAACAACATATTTGAAAGTTATAGTGGAAGTTGTGGTGGTTACAGATACTTGCATGTAGTAAAATCCTTTTTGATCCCCCTCGGCAAACTCAGTTGTGGAATTTCTGTAAAGATTCCTACAAGGATTCTTGTGTTCCCGACTTGCACAGAACTTGAGCTGTTACATCTGCCAGACATCTGAGGCTCCAGGATGTGAGGGTAACAATGATTTTTTAGTTACAGCAGTTAATTTCAACAACATCAGCAACAACAAAAACATTCTTCTTCCAAGCTGGAATTTTGCCCGCTCCAGTTGTTGAGGGACTCCCTCTGTGTGCTGCCTCGGTGCCACCGTGGCTGCAGATGGAGCCTGAGGTGGGTCGGTGGCTGTGGGGGAAGGAGGATGGGTGAGTCAGAGGGGCAGCGGGTGCAGGAGGGGTCCCTGTGCAGCTGGAGTGTGTTTGTGGAGCAGGGCACTGTGTGCTCTCCCTATCTCCAGCGCTTCTCTTGGGGCTTTGGCCAGGGTCCTCGAAAGCAGCAGGCCTCTGGCCAGAGGTGTTTAAAAAGGAAGAAGCAAAGAGGAAGTTGGGGTGGTTCAGTGTGGACTCTCCTGGTCTTCCATTGCACTCCCAGAACCATGGGACCTGGAGTAAACTTCAGAAGGGAAGAGTAAAGCTCAGTCTACAGCACAATCTCATGGTTTTATGAGTTGAAACCCCCAGCAAATGCTTTATTTCTTGGGTCTCGGGCTCATACCAGCTCTCCTGGGGACTCTGAAATACAAGTTTTTCAGTGGGGAAGAGACCTGCTGCTGGTGGCAGCAGAATGGCCCTTGCAGGGATGCATTTCTCAGTTCTCTCACCTTTTCAGTGCTCAGGAGCGTGTGTAGGGAGGTGCTGGTCACTATCTTGAAATGCAGTGAGGAGATGTGGCCACATTTTCTTCCTTCCATCTTCCAGCTGGACTTGCACGTGTCCTTTTGGAAATACTGTGCTTTATTTCCCCCCTCCTTTACTGAGATGGCATTTGGGAGGAGGGTGGGAAGGAGGACTGGTGGTGTTGCAGGCCCAGGAGCTGATGGAGATGGTAGCAGTTGTCCCTTGTTCACAGTGTGTATCCTGAACCTCCACAGATCTTGTCACAAAGGCTGTGGATCCTGCTGTCTTGAAGCATCCTGGGAATTAATTTTTTCCTCTCTGTGACCTGGAAATAGTAGCTGATGAAATAGCTTTCCAGCTTGCCAGTGATCTTCAGTACAGTATATTTTCCTGGCATAGTATCTGTATTTTCTTTTGCTTTGTTATGTTATCTGTGTGTCACTCAGTTATGCGGGAGGCAGTCCCGGCTGGTCCTTCCTGCTTTAACCCTTCTTGCTGTGCGTTCCAGCAAATAAATTTATGCAGCTTTACCTCAGACACTAGATATTTTCCTATTTTAAAAATGTCTGCACGAGGAAACTGGATATGTTTGGGGCTGACTGCAGCTTTCTGCAATGACAAGTCTAACATTTCACCTTCTAATTCTTGCCTTTTGCTGTTTTTGGCTTCCCTCTAGGCTACGGAGAGCTGAATGGTAACGCAGGAGAGCGAGAAGTGTCCCTGAAGGGCCTGTGCTCTGATGAAGCCACCGCCCCAGGATCCAGGGTCTCCAATGGCAGCCAGCAGCTCGTAGATCCTAATGTCACCCCAAAGCAGACTGTGAAGGCCGGTGCTCTGGGGAAAGCTGGAATCAAAACCAAGAACTTCATTCAGAAAAATAGCATGGACAAAAAGAATGAGAAGTCCTACGAAAACAAACACAGAGAAAACCAGTCCTCAGACAAGCCAGAGGGAGTGTCTATTCCAAACGGCGTGGTGACCAACAGTTCCAGCTACATCACAAATGGCTACGTAGGCAAAGGGGCCGACAACGATGGCAGCGGCTCCGAGAGTGGATATACCACACCTAAAAAAAGGAAAGGCAGGCGCAACAGTGCCAAGGGTTGTGAGAACTTGAATCTAGTACAGGACAAAATAATGCAGCAGGAGGTCAGCGCACCAACCTTGAAACAGGAACTTGAGAGTTTCAAGCCTGATTATAGTGAACAAAAGGGGAACCGAATTGAAAATACTAAGCCTGTTTGGAAATACGAGGCTGGGGCTGGTGGAGCAGGCAGGGGGAAGCCTGGGCTCGGGGATGTACCACGGAAAAACTCTGATGCCAAACCTGGGATTAGCAGCAAGAAGTTTGATGACCGGCCCAAAGGGAAGCACGCATCGTCGGCTACGTCTAAAGAGGACTCATGGACCTTGTTTAAACCACCCCCAGTTTTTCCAGTGGACAATAGCAGTGCTAAAATTGTTCCCAAAATTAGTTATGCAAGTAAAGTTAAAGAAAACCTCAACAAAGCAGCTCAAACCCCATCCACGTCATCCTCATCGTCTTCATCATCTGCTGGGGAAACTCAGGCCCAGACATCATCAAGTCGACTGTCCCAAGTCCCCATGTCTGCTATGAAATCTGTCACCTCTGCCAGCTTCTCCAACGGGCCAATCCTTGCTGGGACTGATGGAAGTGTGTATTCCCCAGGGGCCCAGCCACTGCTCTCCACTGCTGCTAGTACTGTACCATCGACCTCCTCCTCCTCTGAGTCTGTACCCCAGGACATGAGTACAACTTCGACAGCCCTCGAACAAAAGAAATCTGGCCTTTTTATCTACCCTTCAAATATGCAAACTGTGCTCCTGGGGACAGCACAAGTCGATTTCCCTTCACAGACGAATCAGCAGAACCTGGGGGATATCTTCCAAAATCAGTGGGGCTTGTCTTTCATAAACGAGCCCAGTGCTGGACCTGAAACCGTTGTGGGGAAATCTGCGGATAATCAGTTAATGGAAGTGACATTTCAAGGGGAATATCCTGCCACTTTGGTTTCACAGTGTCCTGAAATCATTCCCTCAGGAACTGAACAACCTGTGTTTCCTAAGGCTTATGAGCTGGATAAACGGACTAGCCCTCAAATTCTTAGTGCTGTTCTTAAGCCTGGGACTGCTGTTGAGGGTGGTGTCTTAGCCTTGGAGTCGCATCACACAGGTGACCTACAAAAGGCAGACACCGGTAGCCAAGGTGCTTTAGTGTTTCTTTCAAAAGACTATGAAGTAGAGAATCCTCTGGCCTCTCCTACGAACAATTTGCTAGCCTCCGCCAAAGAACAGAGGTACCAGAGAGGCCTAGAAAGGAAAGATAGCTGGGGTTCTTTTGACCTGAGGGCTGCTATTCTATATCACACTAAAGGTAATGGCTTCACTTGCTGCCTAAGGGCGTTCTCTTCTTTTATTTTTATTCTCTTTTATTTTTAGAAGTGCAGTATTCTAACATGGTATGTTCCTTCCAGCAATTCTAATTGTTTTAAAAATGACCCTTTTCTTTGCTTGCATATCCTCTCACGGCAATAACGGTCTGGGGAAGTTACTCAAAGGGTTGTTTAATTAATGTTAAGAGGTATTTGTTTCCCTGTTCCCGCGGACAAGCATGAGTGATGTTGAGAGAGATGATACTTAGCAGGTCTTCGTGAGCCACTGAGCATTGGAAGGAGTTAAATGTGTGGTTTCAGCTGCTCTGTTCCAGCTGCACCAGGTGATATTCTGTCGCTGTGAAGGCTTCATAGTCTGTACTCACACCTCTGCCACCAAAGTGTTGCAGCTTCTCCCCTGGGCAGATCAGACCATGAAATCATGGCTTTGAAGGAAGAAGAAATTATTCCTACGACTGTAGGTGTGATTTATTTTTTTTAAGTGTGCCCCACACACTTTTTCCCTGCCCCTGAGTATTATGGCAGCAGCAAGACCAATCTTCTCTTATCAGCTCCTCTGTGAGCTGCAGATTGAATTCTCTCCTTGTCTTTGTAGGCCACATCTTTCAGATGATTTTATTGCTTTCATGGAGGCCTTTGTAGTCCAGCTCCCTTTTTTCCTGTTTTTTTTTGAGATTTAAATGACTCAAACACGATACAGACACGTTAAAATGGGAACGAAGAGAGGGAAGCCTGTGGCATGGCTTGCTTTCTGCTTTAGCCTCAGCCCCAGAAGTGTGAGGACTTGAGGCAGGTTTTGGCTTTTGGTGCTGGCTCAGTGTTAGCAGGAGCCTGGTTGGGTGTTCCCTTTTGTCACAGTGTTATTTACTCACTCTTGACCAACGCTGGGGCAGTTCCTTTTTCTGACCCCCTTCCCTCTCCCTGCACCCCTCTGCCCTGAAGGGAGCAAGGCGATCATGCTTTTTTTGTTTGGTATTCCACATGCACATGGGGATAATATCTTGCTCCCCTCTGCATAGGGTGACTGCTTGGCTTTGGCAAATTTGCTCTTTTCACCCTCTGCAAAGTTCTTGAATTACCACTTCACAAACTCTGTATGGCATAAACTCGAATGCCTTCCTGTAACAGTAGCAAGCCCAGTCATTTAAAAATAATAACTCCAAATATTTTTTCCAGGTCATCTCCCTCTCAAGATGTTAACATTTCAAGCTCTAGTATTCTTGAGAGCAGTGTTCATCAATTGATTTTATCTGGGTCCTCTCCCTTCTGCTCAGTTTATTCCAGCGTTAAAGCAGGCTTTCTAGTCTTGTTTTTTGTGTCTGCTTGCAGTTTAAATCCCAGCTTCCCATCAGAAAGCATAACATGGAAGAAAATACTCGGTGATCTTTTTCTTAATTTTGCAAATATTCCCTAGACTTCTGTTTGCCTCTCTGTTGTCAGCCTGAACTTGTGGAGCAGCAATTGTGCTGCCAGCAAGGCTCGTCAGCTCTCCCATTCTCACTTGCTGTGAAAGGCAGACCTCAGTGAAACAATAGGAACAACAGGAAAATAAAGAACACTCCCATCCCCTGTCCTCTCAAGGAGGTGTTAACTTCAAAGCCTGGCTGCGTGGAGCTCTTCTAAACACAGGAGTTAATTACATTTGTTGGCAAGAATGGCCACTTAAAGCACCCGTTAAAATACTGTTCTCTGCTCTTCTTCTGCATGTGAATGGTCTGGCTTTGAGCATCCAGAGCAAACATCCTCATGATGGCCCGGGGATACCCGATCCTGCCCCAGCATTCATCTCTGCTGATTTCTTTTTCACGTTATGTATGTGCCATCTTAAGGATGTTACTTAAGGGTAAAAGATGATGGCTGTTTCTAATCAGCATTGTCATTAATGCACTGATGGGGTGCTCCAAACACCTCGGGCTTATCTTTCTCCTATTTAGTGGTCAAAAGCTTTACAAAAAAAGAGATCAGGCCAGGTCTTAGTACTTTTGTAATGATGGTGGGTGTTGCATTTCATCCTTGGGGTGAGATGGGTTAAGGGATATTTGGAGGAATGGTGCCTCCTGTCCTCTCTTCATGGCCGTGGCCCTGCAGCAGAGCCCACCGTGTGCTGTGAAATGCCTCAAAAACAATTGTGGGTGTGATTGCAGGACAGCAGTGCCAGAGCCCACCCTGGCTGTGAAATGCCTCAAAAGCAGAGCTGTGGGGTGTGTTTGCAGGACAGCAGTGCGGGGGTTAATTCCCACACTGTGCTCTCCGTTTATCTTGGGCTCTTTTCCTGAGGTCCAGCTCCAGGCCAGCCAGTTCCTCTGCAGTAGGAAAAGAGCGATTTCACTCGGTTCCTTTTCATGATTTTCCTTTTCCTCCTTGCTGGGGGGAGCCTGTGGCTTTGCCTGGGTCGGTGTTAGGGCATTCCGGGCCCTCAGACTGTTTGGTTTTGATTTTGAGAATCTCGTGAACTTCTCCCTCTCAGATTGATCTGTTTGCTGTTGAGCAAAGTCTGGGTAGTTTGATCTTTGCATCTGCCCTGCCCTTGGGGTTATGAACACAGAGAGAAATGATCACAGGACAAGGACGGGGCAAGTGTGGAGTCCTGGTGTGTTCCCTACCCTGAGCTCCATGTTTTAGCGCAAGGATGAAGCTCTGGGGGTTGCAGAGAAGAATGAGTGTGAGTGGTTGCAGTGCTTTGAATGTCACAAATGTGCACACTCTTTCTTGCACTGTTTGTGCCTGCAGGTGTGACCAGGTGGTGTGGATCCTCATCCTGGACTGTGAATTTCCCTGGGAAAGCCTCCAGCTTACCCAGCAAACCAGGCTTTCCTGTGCGTGGTTTGCCCAGCAACTGCACAGGACATTATAAACTGTAATTGCTTCACGGCTTCCCCGTGGAAAGATGGATGGAGGAGGTGGCACCCAGAGAGAGCTGGCTCTGGTACAGTGCTCCTGTACCTCAGCACAGTGTCCCTGGGTGCTGCCAGGGCTGGGTGGCTGCAGAGCACAGCAAGGTCCTGCTGCAGGATTCCTGTGTTCCTTTGCCTGTACCCTGGCTGCTTTTCCTCCAGAGCACTGGGAACATTCAGGCAAGGATGATGATGCACTCTCTTGTTCTTCTGGGAAACTTTTCCTGATGGTTTCACTGTACCCCTGCTTCATGCCTTGCTTCTTTTCTTTTTTCCCCCCCTCTGTTTAAAGGGCAGAAAGACTCCCTTGATCATCTGATGTGCCTGAGTGTAAAACACAATCCTTCAGTGCGGCGTCCTTCACTGACAGCCCGTGCTGCCTGCAGTTTGTGGTGGTGCCTTGAAACGCTCACGAGTGACAGATCTGATTTACCAAGGGAGATTTGATGTAGCTCAGCACTGGTGGGCCTGCTCTGGATGTGCTTGGAGACAGGGATGGGCTTCACATGGAGAATGGAAGGCCCAGGAAGGAGTAGTGCTCTCATTTCAAGTCATTGTACCCTGTTTAGGTTAGAAGTTGAACTTCTGCCTTGGTGTGGCATTGCCAAAATCCTTATCTTTTTGAGGTAAAACTGATTCTTGCAGATATTTTGGTGCCTCACATAAGGAGGCTGAGTGTATGTCAGCTTTGCTTGCATTGAAACCAGCATCTTCTTTTACTGCTTTAGTCTTTCTTTTAAAGACAGCTGGATGAAGCGCTTCATATCAGAATAATTGTCAACACTTTGGAGAATTTTGTCATGTTCAGGCAATTGCAGTCTTCCAGGCCAGGCTGTCACTAACACTAAGCTCTAGATGGCAAGCTTTGTGGTGGGAAGCTCAATAATTTGCTTGTCCTGAGCTAAAAAGCAAATAATTGAGGCCTCCAGCTCAGCTGCACAGCAGCAAAGACCACATGGGTGGAGGAGAGGGAACTGCAGGGTTTCCCTTGTTCTTGCCCCTGAATTTCTGCCTGTGCTGCTGCTTTGTTCCTCCTCAGCACCTCGGTTGCAGCAGCAGCAGCATCTCTGCTTGCATGAAGAAGCAGGAGAGCAGCATGGAAAATAGAGCAAGGCAGCGTGGGCCAGCCAGGAATGGCGTTCGCCGGAATGGTGAACTGGGTCAGAAGAAATAGCAGAGCTGTGAATTCAGCAATTTTCATCCTCTACATCAGGAGAGGGGGGGGGGGGAAAAAGCCTTGGTTTCCCATCCCCCCGAGGTGGGAAGGGGTTTGAGCTCGCTCTGTTGGTTATGGCCTTGTGGGGCTTGAGCTGTGGGGCAAAAGCTGATTTAATTCTCCTTCCAGTCCCTGCTCTTTCCAGTTGTTAGGATGAGTACAGTGTATGCTGTACAGCCATGAGTCTCCACAGCATGGAGTACTTATTCTTTGCTTTGTTTCCAAGGAAATCCCTGTACTTAATCATTGTCCTGCAGATGCAAACAGCAAACATCAGACAAAAATGGTCCCTTCTTGTTATTTCTTTACTGTTGTATTTTAGGGACAATTTTGGGATTTATAAGGACAGTGAAGTAGTAGCATGGCATTGTGCAGACATTTCTGTTTGCAGGGGCTGCCTCTATGGCAAGGAAAATGTGTGTAAAAGTGCCTGTCTTAGCAGGTTATTTCAGAAACACTTTTTTCCCCTCCAAGGTTACGTACCAGTCCTGCTGTAAAGTTTATTGACCTATGAGGAATCCCAGCACAATTCACCAGAGTGTGCCTTAGTCCTTTCCTGACATCAAAGCTTTCCTCCAGTGCCCCTTTGTTTCAGTGATAGTCGCCAGAAAAAGTGGTTTAGGTGGATGTGGTTGGGACTGTCTGCCCCAGGCAGTTCCTCAGCAAACCACCAGCCTGAGGGCTGTGGAGAAGCCAGCTAATTGTAAAAATAAAAAATATCCTGGAAAAGGAGAGGTTGGAAGGGGTGCAGGAGGTGACCTTGTTCTGCCCCTGGCTTGGAGCAGGGCTGGCTTTGATGCTGAGTTGTGCAAGGGTTTGTTGGTGGCATTTTCTCCAGCTGGGTTGGAGTCCACTGGAGAAGAAAGTTTGGTGTTTCCCCAGCCCCATGTCTGGTTTTGGGAGTGGTGGCTCCTGTTGGGCAGGAAAGCAGCAGTTCTGGGGCAGTATCTGAGAGACTGGACAGGGGCTGGTGGTGAGGATGGTGTTCTCATGCAGGGTGAGCAGCTGTAGGAGTCCTTTGCTTAAACTCACTCTGGGAGCTTTATCCAGGGAGAAGGCTCAAGAAAAGAGCTGCGAGCTCAAAGAAGGAGGGCTGAAAGCAGCTTGGGGCCTCCTGCATGCCCAGTTCTTGGGGACTGTCTTTCCTTCTGCTTGGCTGGAGCCAGGCATTGGGCAGCAATGGCTCTGCTGAGCTGCCTGGTCACCCTGTGACAGTGTCCATGCATTTGTCACAGTGCCTTTGTCACTCACAGGTGATCACAGCCTTGAACTGGCAGGAAAACTTAGCTGTATTACAAAGTAAAGCAGAATAAATAATACCATTCCATTTTAAGATTGCAGAAATTCCTTTTTCCCCTAGTTTTGTGCTGTAGTTAGCCTGGAACTTATTTTCTTTTCCCTTGTGAAGTTGTGTCACTTGGTCAGTGTGCTTTAACCTGTGCTGTCCCCTGTCCCTGTGCTGCCAGGTGGAGGGGAGGACCTTGCTCTGCTGGTGGCAGGTGATATTTAGCAAGAGCTGTTATTGCATTGTTTGCTGATGGTCTTTGTTTTTGTAGCTTGGTCCTGCTGAGCATCTGCCAGCCAGTGTGTCCAGGTGTCTGGGATGTCCAGGACACTTTACACCACCCTCCCTTTCTGAAGGAGGAGAAGTGAAATTGAAGTCTGAAATGGCTTAGATTTGTTGTTTTTTTTTTTTTTTAAAACAGAGTTTTGTCAACTTAGTAATTTTTTAGTATGTTTTTAACAGTATCTCTGTTTGTATGTCTGTATATCTGTCCTATTGTCAGATACTCTTTAATACATGGAGTTCACATTCTTGTGGTGTCCAGAGCAGTTAAAGCCAAATGAGGTGCACCAGACAATGGTCTGTGCATGGGGATGTGGTGGTGGGTGGTGCTTCAGCTCTACCTTGTATTTCATGCTCAAGCATTGCTCTAATGTGCAGGAACCAACAACTGGAGAGTAGTTTTCTGTCCTGTGCCTTTGGGGAAAGCTGTTAAAGTGGGAGATGTTCTTTAGCTGTTAGGAAATGATGCATCAAACTGCGCTGAATGGAAAACTCACTCCACAGGAGGTAATTTTAGTAGCTGGTTCATTTTACTTCAGGGGAATCTGCATCTGGCAGATGAGGGAGGCAGTCCCTTGCCAGCCTGCTCCTGTCCCTGGGGTGTTAGAGGCTGGCTACTATTCCCAAAGCACTTAGGGCTCCCCAATAGAAGTGCAAAGTGTTGCTGTTACTATCCTGACGCAAAAATAACAGACCTCGTAAAATTTTGTCAGGGCCTTCCTTACAAAAGGCTTAATTGTGCAAGGAGGGCTGGCAATATTTATTTGCATGCAATTTCCTGCCCCAGGGAGCTGGAGATTGTAGGGGACAAAGGACAGATGAAGGGTTGGAGAAGGGAGGCGATTGATGGAGGTGACACTTGGCACACATCGTGGGTTTTGTAGGGCTTTTTCTTCTTCCTTTCCTGAGCTGGTTAGTTTACTCACTGCCTTGTTTTGTGCTTTACTGCACATCCCATGTGGCCTGATAATCTCTCACCATTCCCTTTTCCTAGCCCTTACCAAGGTCCTGTCACCCTTTCTGGCAGAAAAGAGACTCAAAAGTGGTTCTTGGAAAATTGTGTTCCGACTAATACTCATTTTCTATAATTTTGTCTATTGAACTTGGGCACAGGGTACAGTCAGCATCTTAAAAAATATTCTAGCTCATGAAATTCCAACGTGATAGCAGCTCCAGGTAGCTATTTTGAATGGTTCTCTAAAGATGCATCTTTGTTTGGGGGATATTTTAAAGGGAAGAGCCTTCTGTTTCTCAGCGTTAATGAAAAGAACATTTAACTTTGCTGTTATTTCTTAGATAAACAAAAGCATGTGCATGTCCAGGGAGAGCTGGGAAGGGTTTGTCTTTAGCCTGCGAACGTGTTGTAGAGGTAAAGTGTGGGAAGACCTGCAAGACAGGTGCGTGGAGCATCACACCTTGCTCCTGGACAGTGTTGGCAGCAGCTCTCAGAGATGCTCTCACAGCTGCAGCCCTTGCCTGGTGCCTCAGCACACACATGCTGTGAACCATGTGCAGCTCGCTGTGTCCAGCGCTCCCCATTTGACACTCACTAAGCATCAACTTGGAAAAATCATCTCTCCAGGCTCCTTGTTGAGGCTGTAATGTGCAAAGCAGCGTTGGAGACAGAGTAGTAAAGCCTGAAGTTAGATTGTGATATGTAGGACTGGTGAATGGTGATGACATTTCTGATGCTCAGCTTGGCTCTCTGACCCTTAAGACCATGTTACAGCTATCCCTTTGCCTTTTATTGCTGCATTATTCATGTCAAATTTGTGTTGTCCTGTGGGCTGGGGCTGTGCTGCTGGGTGGGAGGAGGGTTGGCTCTATTTGAAAGCCCCAGCACAACTGCCACAGTTGGAAAATTAAAGTGTGTTTGGAGTGGTCTCTAATGGCAGCATCAATCTGCATAATAACAGTGGTCTCCTTTTGCCTCCACAGAAATGGAAGCGGTTTGGAATTTGCAGAAGCAAGGTAAGGATGTTGGAAGGGATAAATGAACCAAATTGCTGTCTGTTGGGAGGGGGGATGAATGAGAGTGGATTGTCTCTGTGTCTGGAGATGCCTGGGTTCAGTTCTTCAGCTCCTGTGGTTTGTAGTCTGGGTTTATCTCTGTTTCAGATCGCTGAAAGTCAGGACAAAAAGCTTTGCTATAATGGTGAGCTGCTTGGAGAGAAGCAGAGTCTCTAGAAGAGCAATAAACCCAGTGTCAAATTAGATTTAATGACTCTTCCTTATGTGTATACAAAATTGCTTTCTATTTCTGGTGCTGGGTGTCGCATCCAATAATAAGTTTTACATTCTGGTGTATCCCCACAAGTCACCTGAGAGGAGATTTTTTGTGAAAAGAGCTGTATATGGAGACCTGTGTGCTGCTGTGGGGAGCAGCTCTGCTATGGGGGAGCCAGCCTGGCCTTGGGGTGGCTTGGCAGGAGGGGGGCATCCAAAGGAAAAGTCTGTTAACAGCCAAGTATTTGTGTTTATTTTCAGCCACAGGCCCTGAAAGTAGCTTGTCCAAAACTTAGGATTTTGCTTTCTTTCCAGATCCCAAAAGGATAATCACTTATGATGAAGCCATGGATCGCCCGGATCAATGAAGGTAGCAAGACAAGACTGCCTGTTCTAACCTTTCTGCAGCATTTGTGCTGTTCGTGGGGGACAAAAAGGCTTTTATGCTCCTTCTAAATCTTCAGTGCAGCAGAGGAACCATAACTAGAATCACAGGATAATATATACAAATATATATATAGTTATTTAAAAATGGCAACTGAAAGTAATTAGACTTCTTAAGGAATCTGAAAATTTATTTCAACGAGACTACACACGTGATTATTTAATCTCCGGTACTGAATAGATTTTTTTTTTCCATTTTTGTTTTGTTTTGTTTTTGTTTAAAGAGTGAATGCAAGTGATTAAGGAACACAGACTCAATTACAAACCCGGTTTCAAAGTTCCTGCTGTCGTCTACATGGGCAACAGCAACCCACTGGAGAGGCATTTCCACTTGACAAGGTTTCTGTTTCTTGTTCTGTGACTGTAGTGACACACTAATCACAGGGAAATCAGGATGAATCACCATCCTTCATCTCCTCTTTTCCTTCCACCTCCCCTGTTTGGTTTCCTTTTTTTTTTTTTTTTTGCTGATTTGTTTTCCATTGAATGCTGGAGAAACGCCTTGAAGTTTGCAGAGTTTCTTTTTTTTCTTTCCAGAGAATTATAAATCCGCATGTTTTGCCAGGAGTAAAGCAGCAATCCTATGCTGGTGATATTGTCTTAAAAGGATCATTCTGCTGAGGGAAAGATGGTAATACTGCAGTTCTAGGATGCATGGTGAAGTCACACAGTTGACCTGGCTCCTGTTACACGTTGGACTATTGCAACTGAAGAGTTATTTCATTTTAAAAGACAACATGGAAAAATAAGCAATCTGTTTAGGCATTTAATATGGAGAGAAAAAAACAACAAAAAAAACCCCACTGTTCCCACAGTTTAATGCCATTGTATTACTGGGAGCAAGAAAAAAAAAAAAGACAAAAAAAACTATCTTCTGCTTTCAACTGTAGGTGCTTCATATTTGCTCTGTCTGTCTCCTAACACTAAATGTGCTGGATTTTTTTCCCATTTTCATTGGAAAACTGAAGAAGAATTGAGTTCTGCTAACTTTCACCCTTCTTGAATTATTTTTTCTCTTAAAAAAATTTCAAAATAACAAAAAAATGAAAAAAGTAAAAAAAAAAACAAAAAAGAAAAAAATGGGAATTTGAATCCTTTTCCATTTGTCCATAGAACGCCAATGGCTGGGCTTCCTGCCCCTTGGAAATGCTCTTTTATATTTTAATGCAGTCTGTGTATTTCCGGGCTCTGCTTCTAATTATCTCTTAATAAAAATATATTTTATTACAAAAAAAATGGAGGACTTAGGAATGAAAATAATAATTTAAAAAATAAAAAAAAAATAATCCCAGGGAAAGGAAAGCTTCCTAGCAGTGGTAGGGAAGGCTGAGCAGAGCGCAGGCTCCAGGTGTAACCCCTCTGTCCCATTGCAGCTTGTGTAATGTGTCCCAATCATCTGGGGGTCGGGTAGTTTTTCTGGGTTTTTTTAAAAGGTGGAAAGTTCACAGGGTCCAGTGCAAGAGTGAGAAATGAATAAAGCAGACATGGGTTTGTTGGCCAGCCCCAGCTCCCCATGTACCCAGTGCTCATCGTGGGTGTTGGTGGCCCAATCCTGGCTCTCCAAATCAGCAGCAGTTGGTGTCTCCTAAATGAGCCTGGACCCTCTGGGGCATTAGGAGGAATAAATAAACCTAAAATTTTGGAATATCCTTTGTGCTTAGATCTGCCATCAAACCATGGGGCTGCTGTCCAGTCACCAGAGGGTCCCTCAGGGCTCCATCCTCAGCCCAGCATCTCATTAACAGCCTGGGTTCAGGACTCAAAGACATACTGATTTTGCTGACACACTAAACTGTGAGGAGCTATTGACACCCTCAAGGGCAGAGAGCCCACAACAAATTAGAGCTGGGCAAGCACCAACTGTCTGAAGTTTGCAAGGGCCGGTATCAGGTTCTGCACCTGGGATGGCAGCCCTGGATGGACTGGGAGGCTGGAGAGCAGCACCATGGAAAGGGAGCTGGGGCTCCTGGTCCATGGCCCGTTGGATCTGAGTCAGCAGTGCCCTGGCAGCCAGGGGGCTCAGCAATGTCCTGGGGGGCACCAGGCCCAGCAGGACCTGGCCTGCTCTGCTCTGCACTGGTGCAGCCTCACCTCGAGTTCTTGGGCAGTTCTGGGCACCACAACATAAAAAAGACCCCGATTAGAGAGCATCCTAAGGAGGCCATGAGGATGGGGAAGGGTCTGGAGGGGAAGCCTCATGAGATCCCTTGGTTTGTTCAGCTGGAGAAGAGGAGACTGAGGGGAGAACATCCACCCAAGGGGCAGCAGGGAGGCAGGTACCAATCTCTTCGTTCATGACCAGTGAGAGGGAGTAGCCTGACGCTGAGTCAGGAGAGGGTTAGGTTGGATAGCAGGAGGAGGTTCTTCACCCAGAGGGTGGTTGAGCACTGGAACAGGCTCCCCAAGGAAGTGGTCGCAGCACCAAACTTGTCTGAGTGCAAGAAGAGTTTGGACAATGCTTTCAGGCACAGGGTGGGATTCTTTGGGTGTCCTGCACAGGGCCAGCAGTTGGACTCGATCCTGATGGGTCTCTTCCAACTCAGAATATTCTATGATTCTATTGCTTTCTTTTTTTTTTTTTTTTCTTCTCTTTTTTTTTTCTTTCTTTTTTTTTTAGTAGGAGTATGTAGCATGTGTTTTTTTTAATTGTTTTTATACTTTTAATAAGATTGTTCCTGAATGAGACACTTGAGTTCATGGTGGGACAATGAAACTGAAATTCTGTACCTTGTGTAAGACGCTCGCTTTCTGCCACGCTTAAACATTTGACTATGGATTGCCTACTCCATTTGATGTATCCAGAGCTATATAGTATAATCCTGAGTGTGATACTATATAGTCATCATGTATTGTATCAGTCCAGGTTCAGAAATGTGTGGTTGGCCAGTCGCAAATAGTTCTGTTTCACCTATAAACTTGTACCACCTCTGCAGGTGTGTGTAACTTTAAAGTGCATAACATGTTTACAGATGTGCCCAACATCTAGTCCTCCAACGTTCCTATTTTTAATTCTGTTGAGTCTCCCAACTGCTTGCCAAAAGTTGGAATTGCCTCCAGCTCCCCTGCTGAAGAGCTGGGATGTTCCTGAGCTTTAAAGTGTTGAACAAACTGGATAGTGGGGCTGGGAAAATGAAGGTGGAAGAAATGTTCTTTTTCATTTTTAATTATTTTTATTATTATTTTCAAAATTTGAAGGCTAATAGCAAAGTTTCCAGTTTGTTTTACTGGCTTTAAGGCTCTGCTGTGTATTTATTTGCCTTGTGTAGTCACTTGTCGCCTTAAGGGCTGGGTTCCATTAAAAAAAAAAAAAAGAAAAAAAAGAAAAAAAAATAAAACCACCCTGTTTTGCTTCCCTGGGGTCTGTGCTGTCCTGTACCCCTGCCCCAGGGCTGTGCTTGGGGCAGTGCAGGAGTGGAGCAGCACTGACCCTGCGCCTCTAGAAAGGTCTGAGTCTTGCTGAATATTTGAGGACTCTCATGTTGGCCTAGTCCAGTCTGTCACCTGAATAGTGAAAGAGATGCTGAGAGGAGCTCGGTTCAGCGATGGGTTGGGCTGGATTTCCCCTGATGCTCATCTCTGTGGCTTTGCCTCGCCAGCGGGACCCATCCAGAAACACCCTCGGCAGCGCCTTCTCTGCTGTATTTCTGCCCATCCTCTGTTCACGTGTCTGTCTGTCTGTCTGTCTGTCTCCATGAGCTCCATGGCGTGTGCTCAGCTCTAAGCAGTTAGGAATTCCTCTCTCTGAGCTCCTGTAGCTGCGGCTCCCTGGTGTTTCTGGGATAGACAATTGCCTAGAGCCAGGCAGGACCATGGAAGGAACTTCCTCGTGCTGTCGTGTGACTCGCCCTGTCGCTGTCTGCAGTCCTCCCCAAGTCCTCACACAATTCTTAACTGAGCACTTATTAAAAATATCTTAAGATTTAATCTGTTTTCTGATTATTTTTGTGTAAGCTTATAAAAAAAAAAAAACAAAAAAGAAAAAAAAAAACTGAAATTGAGCTGTGACTAATTTAGCACATTGAAATAACGATAAGGTGTTACTGCTATAAGTCTCATGTTTTGTTTTGTTTTTGTTTGACTCAAGAGTATTAGTACTGTAGCATAAACCAAATACAGCCTGGGAAGGGGAGCAGCAGCCTCCTGTCCTGGGTGTGCACCCGAGGGTGTCTCTGGGGGCGAGCATCTGACCTGTGAGGAGAGTGAGCGTGTATTTATTTGTGCCATTGTTTGCATTACACTGAGTAAAGAAAGTTTTAAATCAAAACCCCTCCAGTATGTCTAGTATTGGAAAGCAGCACTAAGGGTGAGATCATGACCTATTTTTTTATTAGCTATGAGGATACTAATTCAGGTTAAGGCTTCTCTCTTGTTTCTGTTCCCGTTGTGAGTCCCTTTCCTCTGGTTCCCTTTCCAGGCTGTTTGTTTGTTGGAATGAGGATTCCTGCACAGGCAGGGGCTGTCTCCTTTTTCCTCTGGTCATTCCCCACCTCTCCTCCTCTGCCAGCAGGTTCTTTTGGGTGTGTCTTGTACAGGGTCTTGTGTAATAGGGACTGGAGCATGTAGTGCCAGCCAGATCCAGCTTGGGATCTGCTTGCTTTTGGTGCATCATGGAGTGTTCATGTGCTCCAAGAGGTGCTTTAACAACTGCTCCATGACAGTGGTTTGGGGCCTTCAGTCTCTGCTCTCTCCCACTCCACCCAATTGGTGGATTGGCAAAGCAATGGCTTTCAGGCTTTGCTTGGAGTTTGGTTTTAGTTTGGTTGAGTTAAACCCACCTCGATCATCTGTGAAACCTGGTAGAAATCTCCTTTCTCTTTGACCAGTGGGTACCTCCAGGGCGTGGATTCTGTCACTAACCCACTTCAAACCTTTCTGAGCTAGTAAATCCCACTTTTTGCCTTTCATAGCTGCTGTGGACTTCTTTGAAATGTGGAAAGAAACCCAATTCTCACTAGGTTGTGAGTCCAGCGCCTGGGAGTGGGTGATGGGTGAGCCAGCTAGCTAAATGGAAAGGAAAATTGCTTCCTGCTAGGAAAAAAAATAGGGAAAAAAAGAGCTGGAAGTTGTGCTCCCAGTTGTGTGTGTAATTAGTGCTTTCACCTTCAAGGCAGTGTGACAATAACACCATGGTGTCCTTTCCCAAGTGGCCAGTGGGTGACCTCAGGGACATCTGGGAGTGATGGCGTTCACAGCCAGAACTGCCGGTAGTTTTCCTGTGTGTCCAGGTTTTGATCTTTATTTAGTAAATTGCTGTGGTGTCCCAAGCTTTCAGAGTATTTCTCTCTCATCCCTACAAGACTTTTCTGTCCGTCCATCAGTTGTGATTTTTCTCAGAGAGGCTGTTTACAAGGGAGCTGGTGAGGTTGGGAGGGGAGAGAACAAGGATTCACCCACTTCAAAGCTGCTGCACGTTTTCACACTGGTGTGTAAGGCAGGGACAAGGGCTGGTGTGGTGGAGTAGGCAAGAAAGCCAGAGTAATTCTGGCTTTGGCCACCACCAGAGTGTTTTTCCTTGTGGGAAAACCCTCGTGCACACAGCTGGGAAGCAGGAACCAGGGCTGGTGGAAGGAGATCTCCATGTGCTGCCTTCCAGGGATTACAGAGCTTTAGAGGTTTGCCCAGTACATGTTACACCCCAGGGTCAGGCTCTGCTCCTCTGCCCTGCCCAAGATCCTCTAAAGCCACAGGAGAGTGGAGCTGTGGATGTCTGGGGAGGTGAAAGAGCCCTGTGGTGGCCTCATGTCCTGGGCATGAGCCCATTCCCTGTGCTGGACTGGAGCAGGAGTCCTGCCTGTGCCCTCACCAGGGGATGCTGAGCTGGATTTATCTTGACTGTTAATCAGAAAGCTTCATATAACATGTCCAGAGCTCTAAAGCCATTTTGTAAGATAGCGGTGTCCCTTTTCTACAGCCTTATTAATGAGTAGAAGATCTTTAAAAAGAAGAAAACAAACAAACAAAAAAAAAAAAAAAAAGAATTGCTCATTTCTTTTTGTGGTATGAAACTTGTGTACTGCGAACTTCTGAACATTTAGCAAAAATACAACTTACAGTTTTCTTAAAAAAAAAAAAAAAAAAAAATCCCCAGCCTGTCTGCTTTCCATACAGTCTTTCCTCAGGTGCTAAATAAGGGTTCCAAAAATGGATACTGCTTTAGGAGTTCCTGCTTTATTCTTAAAATACATATTTTTTTGCTTAGGTGTTGTAAAGATATTTTAACAAGAATGTTGTTTTTTAAATGTAAATAAGATTGTGTCTTTAATTTTTGTTTTATCTCCTTTTTGTCCATATTGAATAGTCTAATTTTCATTTTTGAGAAGGACCCTCTTATGCCCTTCCCCTGAAGACATTTCATTAAGTGTTGCTGCATTTAAGAACGAATCTACAACTGTTCATTGTCTTGGATTAATGCTGCTGCTGCTGCTATAAGTAACCCTGAAAATCAAGAATGTGTGATGCACTTTTGTTTTTCGTTTTTGTTGTTTTGTTTTTTTTTAACATGACCGTGTAGTTCCTCTGCAGATAGCTGAACCCTCCTGTAACACAGCCACTAACTGGGGGAGTGTAGGAACTGGGGGAGCTGGGGTGTAGGACAGGGGTGGACCTGATTTTGGTGCTGACCTATGGGAATTTCTATGCAAACGCAAGCAAAGGAGAACTCTTTTAACTTGAGAGAACACTGTGCTTTTTTATTTTTTATTATTTCTTTTTCTTTTTCTCTCCTTCCTTTTCTCAAGCTGCTATTGGAAGGGTAGTGCAAATCCCTGAGGTTTTCAACTTCTCCTTCCTCCGTGGCTGGTGGTGCAGGAAAGGTGCCTGAGTAAATTGTAAGGTAGAAAAAACCTCAGTCAGCTCTTGTCTCGTCTCTGGTTTTAGTATATTTGTTTTCTATTTGAATTTATCTATAGAAGGAAATTGCTCATCTCTAAAAAAGCTCTTCTGAGTGCTTTGTCTCAATGTGAAGTTAACCAGCAGTATTAAGGATTGCATGGCCTCCGTCCTGCCCTTATCCCAGTGCT